AGTATAATGAATTCAATAATACAGAATTTGTGAATAATGAAGATCAACCACAGTCACCAAAACTACTCTGCAAATGTCCACTGGCTCCTGTACTCTGAATACCATGGATACTAATTCAATTCCATAAACCGAAAGATAAACACTACCTTAGCAAACTGTCCTGCAAGTTACAAAGTGGCATACTATAAAAGGATACTTACACGGACAGGAAGAGCAGAGAATGTTCATAATTACTGAATACTCTGCCTCCTCCCACTTTGTTGGGGTGTCCAATCTAAGCTTTAAAAGACTGATTAAATCTGGGAAAGATTTGAGCAAATCAGTAAATACATTAAGATTGAGCAAATAGGCATATATATTATTACAAATATTAAGGGTTCCTATTAGAGAAAGGAGTTAACAAATATGAAAAGACAGAAGGGTAAAATAAACCCTGTTACTAGGATGGATTTAGAATAATTGGTATGGGTTTTTAATGCATATAAATATAGAAACAGATGTGTATTTATGTATATGTATAAACTTACATATACTTCTTATCCCTGTCTTGATAGGTCCTGGAGGCAATGACTACATCTAGCATCCAGGTTTGGTTTCAAAATAGCAATATTCACTAAAAAGAATTAGTGTTCTCTGGAGAAAAGTTGACTTCTGAATGGAGTTGATGCTCCTTAAAGCTTTATTTGCAAAGCACTAGCATTATTTGATCTGTTAGTGGCTCTTTGGAAGACTTCATTTGCAAGGCTGTCCTGGAACTCATCCAATATGAAAAAACATGCCCCCAGGAACATTGGTTGAAAACAAATAAAGGCAATTGTTCAACTTCATGGCTGCCTGAGGTAGTGGATAATACCTGGGGAAAACAATAGGCTAATAAAAAAGCTTAAAAGGAAAAGCAAGAGAATGAGCTCATAAGGGCTTTGAAAAGGTCTGACATATTCCTGTGAATCTGAAGGCCATGCTTATGCACAGAGCTGTGTACAGGAACAGGAAAGACCTGAGACCTCTGGTTGACCTTGAGGCTCTTAGGAAGTGAAGTTTAAGACAGAGATGTTAAACGACCTGCAGAACATTGATCGTGTGCCCCAACATGTGCACAGAGTCCCTCAGCAAAAACCAGGAGACAATGGGGCACCTGGGTGGCTCAGTTGTTAAGCGTCTGCCTTCAGCTCAGGTCATGACCCCAGGGTCCTGGGATCAAGCCCCACATCAAGCCCCACAGCGGGCTCCCTGCTCAGCAGGAAGCCTTCTTCTCCATCTCCCACTCCCCCTGCTTGTGTTCCTGCTCTCACTAACTCTCTCTATCAAATAAATATAGAAAATCTTAAAAAAAAAAAAAAAAAAAAAGCAGGAGACTTACTGGTTCCAAGTATTTAAGGAAGTCTCCAATCATTATTTGACCACTAAGCTAACTGAGCAGAGACCACACAACAAAGAATACAAACTTTACAGAATTCAGAAAGGTCACTAAACAGAAAAATAGTAACTCTGAGAAAGGGCAGATCTGATTTCCAAAATTGCCACATTATATTATTTAAAATGCCCAGGTTTTTTTGTTTTGTTTTGTTTTTTAAAGATTTTATTTATCCAGGGCACCTGGGTGGCTGAGACATTAAGCGTCTGCCTTCAGCTCAGGTCATGATCCCAGGGTCCTGGGATTGAGCCCCACATCAGGCTCCCTGCTCAGCGGGAAGCCTGCTTCTCCCTCTCCCTCTTCCTCTGCCCCTGCTTCTGTTCCCTTTCTCACTGTGTCTCAAGGGAACACAAGCAGAGGGAGTGGGAGAGGGAGAAGCAGGCCTCCCGCAGAGCAGGAGCCCAATGCGGGGCTCGATACCAGGACTCTGAGCCAAAGGCAGACGTTTAACAACTGACCCACCCAAGCACCCCATAAAATGTCCAGTTTTTAACCAAAAAAAAGTATGAAGCATATAAAGAAACAAAAAAGCATGGTCCATACACAAAGGGGAAAAAATTGATAGAAACTGTCCCTGAAGAAAGAAAATAAAGAAACTGTCCCTGAGGAAGCTCAGATGTTAGACAAACTAGACAAAGACTCTGAACCTGCTATTTTAAATGTTTAAAATCTAAAGGAAACCATGTCTAAGGAACTATAGCAGAGTATAAGAATGCTATCTCACCAAATAGAGAATATCAACAGAGAGATTATTTTTTTAAAACACAGAAATCCTTGGGGCGCCTGGGTGGCTCAGTCAGTTAAGCAACTGCCTTTGTCTCAGGTCATGGTACCAGGATCAAGCCCCATGTCAGGCTCTCTGCTCAGCAGGGAGCCTGCTTCTCCCTCTCCCTCTGCCTGCCAGTCCCCCTGCTTGTGCATTCTCTCTCTCTTTCTCACTCTGACAAATAAATTAAATAAATAAATAATAGAAATTCTTCTGTTGAAAAGACTAAATAAACATTTCACTAGAGGGGTTAAACAGTAGATTTGAAGAAGAGAAAATCAGTGACCATGAGAACAGGCCAACTGAGATTATCCATACTAAGGAACAGAAAGAAAAAAGAATGAAAAAAAAAATTCACAGAGCCTCAGAGAACTATGGTATACCATCAAATGTACCAACATATAATGGGAGTCTCAGAAAAACAAGAGAGAAATATAGGGACAGAAAAATATTTGAGGAAATACTGGCAGAAAATATCCCAAATTTGATGAAAAACATCAATCTAGAAATCCAAGAAGCTCAACTAATTCAAGTAGCATAAATTCAGATAGATCTATAAATGGACATATCATAATCAAGCTGCTGAAAGACAAAGACATAGAATCTTAAAAGCAGGAAAAGCTATTCAACATGTATAAGAGATCATTGATAATATTAACAGCTGATTTCTTCTCAGAAACCATGGAAGACAGAAGGCAGTGAGATGAAAAATTAAGACTTTCTAAATAAACAAAAACTAAGAAAATCTGTCAACAGCGGACTTGCTCTACAGCAAATATTAAAGGGAAAACATCAGGCTGAAATGAGACCTCTGACACTATAGTAACTCAAATCCACATGACGAAATAAAGTACACTGATAAAGGTAACTACTTAGATAAATAAAAAATAAAGCATGAATCTATTTTTTGTTTATAATTATTTTTTATTTCCATTGTTATTTTTAATTTCAAAGGCAACTGCATAAAGAATAATTGTAAATCTATGCTGATGGGCACACAATGTATAAATATATAATTTGATAACACTCTCTAAAAAAAAAAAAGATGGTCACTATGGAAGGAAGGAAGGAAGGAAAAGAAGGAAGAAAGGAAGGAAAAATAACCAGCATTAGCAAAGATGTGGAGAAACTGGACTGGAGCCCTTACGCTTTCTTGGTGGGAATGTAAACACTGCAGCCACTGTGGAAAATAAAATGGCAAATGCTCAAAGAATTAAACATAGAATTACCATATGATCCAATAATTCTACTTCTGAGTACATACCCAAAAGAAGTGAGAAAAGGGACTTGAACAGATATACATACACCCATGTTCACGGCAGCACTATTTCATAATAGCCAAAAGATGGAAGCAACCCAAGTGTCTGTCCTCAGATGACTGAGTCAACAAAATGTGGTATATACATACAATGGAATATTATTCAGCCTTAAAAAGGAAGGAAATTCTGATACATGCTACCACATAGAAGAACCCTGAAGACATTATGCTTAGTAAAATACACCAGTCACAAAAGGATAAATACCATATGATTCCATTAATATGAAGTACCTAGAGTAGTCAAAATCATAAAGACAGAAAGTATGGTGGTTGCCTGGGGCTACGTAGAAGGGGGCATGGTGACTTATTAAATAGGTAGAATTTCAGTTTTGCAAGATAAAAAAGAGTTCTATGATTGTGATGGTTGTGATAGCAGCACAACAATGTGAATGTATTTAATGCTACTAAACTGTATAGTTAAAAATTATTAAAATGGTACATTTTAATGTGCCAGGTCATGTTCTCAGGGTTGTGAGATCAAGCCCCACATCCAGAACTGTGCTCAGCGCAAAGTCTATTTGAATTTCTCTCTCCCTCTGCTCCTCCCACCCCCGACACACACACTCTCTCTCTCTCAAATAAATAAATCTTTTTGTAAAAAGTACAGAGTGGCTCTCTGCAATTTCTACTACTGTCAAAGTAAAGCAAAAACAATCACCAATGCCCAGGTCAGCTCATAAAACCATAAACAAGTCACACTGCACTGCTCTAATGTCCAGTTCCTCTGCTAGAGCTACTCAGCAATAGCAGTGTTTTAGCTTCCTCCTGTTTCCTAAACCCATTGTTGGAGAAGGGAAAAGAGAAGAAAAACTTAAGGGGAAACTAATGAGAATGTTTTAGGAATACTACATCTCTGGAGTTCAAATTTCTTATCTTAAAATGGAGAAAACAACAGTGCCTACCTTTTCAAAGGGCTGTTGTCAGGACTAAGTAAATTCACATGTATAAAGTATTTAATAAGAGTGCTTACCACAAGGTAAATGCCCTAAAAACGTTAAACTTTTTTTTAGGGGAGGAGAGAGAGATTATGTGCACGCACAGAGGTTGAGGGGGGTGGAGGGAGAGGGAGAATCTCAGGCAGACTGCCTGCTGAGCACAGAGCCCTATGTGGGGCTCAATCTCAGGACCTGAGATCATGACCTGAGCTGAAATCAAGAGTCCGGCATTTAACCTACTGAGCCACCCAGGGCACCCCGATAAATGCCCTAAAAATGTTAGCTATCTATATTCTTGCCCAGGAAATATCAACGTCTTATTTCAACTACAACCTTTATCTCAGCTTCCTTACTCTCTCCTGAACACCAACTCTCTAGCTACTTAAAAAAAAACAGTAACAACAAAACACCACCATCCTCTCAGCTGAATATGAGTCCTCAGTGAAGGACACTGCTATATTAACTCAGTCATCCAAGGCAGACCAGGGACTCACTGTTAAGACATCCCTCTCCCTCACCCTCAATATCTAACCTTTCACCAAGCCCTGTAGATGGTTTCCTCAATACCTGTTGAAATCATCCCTTCCTCTTTAACCACACTTTCCCCTCTTAGTACAGGCCTTCCTCACTTCTTCCAGGATTGCTTGAGTAGCTTCTGACTGGCCTTCAGGACTTGAATCTCAGCCGTCTGACTGATCCATCCACAACTGCTACAGGGATCTAGTAAAGCAAAAATCTAATAGTGAGTATGAGAGTTTACGATGACAAGTTTCTCTTTTTTTTTTAACTTTTTTATACTTTCAAAATAAAATTTTTAAATTTCAACTTAAAAATGAGAGAAGAGAGGCACCTGGCTGGCTCAGTTGGTACAGCATTCAACTCCTGATCTCAGGGTCATGAGTTCAAGACCCACATTGGGTGTAGAGCTTTTAAAAAAATAAAATTAAAAAGACTACAGCTTTAAAAAATAAATACATAAAATTTTAAAAAATAAAAATAAAAAATGAGGAAAGAAACTAGTGTTCCCCTGACCAGTAGTGGTTGCAGGGGGAGAACAATAGGAGAAAAGGACTGAAAAAGAGCACAAAGAAATGTGGGGGAGTGAGAAACATGTTCATCATTTTTATTGTGGTGATAGCTTTTCAAGTGTATATCTATGTTAACAGTTATGTATAATTAAATAAGTATAACTTATTGTATGTCAATTATTCTTTAACTTTAAAAATTTAAATAAAAAAGTAAATGTATCAAAAACCCTTTTGCCCGAAAAACAGAAGCTTTGACATAAATGCCATCTACAGCATGACAGATGATGCCCAACAATATATATATACATGACTATCACAGACTACCTATCTCCAGCACAAGTCACAAAAAGTCAGGGAGTGCATAACCTTGTCCTAGAACCCAGTCTCCAGGGCCAGGCGCAAACAGGGGACCACAGGAAACCAGCCTGGACACTGGGCTGCTATCAGTTCACATTAAGTTGCACACCATTCAAACCTCCTCAGTGTGCATTTGCAACTTACCCATGATGCATCTCCTCAGCCCATTTGAAAGACTCAGGGTCTCACCCTATAGAAGTACCTTAGTGGTTTATATTATAGGCATAATAACAACTTGAGAATGAAGATCGGGTTGTTTTCAACTTGAAAATTATTTGAAAAATAAATAAATAAAATTTGGAAAAAACCCTATTAAAAATAAATCTTCCCTTGCTTAAAATATTTCAAAGGCTCCCCTCTGCCTCAGGAGAAGCCTCTAATCCTAACCATGAAACACAAGGGGCCCTGACTCCTCTCCCGCCGTTTCCCCATAAGTGTCCCTGAGTCAAGCCAAAGATTCATATACAGTTCTTGGTCATCTGGCATTAGTAGCATAAGCTAATGCTTCTCTTCTATGCTCTCTCTCCCATTCTCTAGTGCTCTCATTTAGTTCAGGCATCTCTCCCTGATGGATGCTTATCCTCAAGCTGGGTTAGGTATGTCTCTGCTCTGCTCCTGTAGCACCTGGTACAGACTTCTATCACAGCCTTTCAAGTATTGTATTAGTAGTTCTCTTTTCTGTCTCTCCTATTAGATTATAAACTTGAGAGAAAGGTGTATGTTTTTCATCCTCAGTCCCTTGGATAGTTCCTAGAATGTAGTAAACTCTCAAAACGGTTGCTAAACTAAAAGGAAGGGAAGAAAAGCACTTAAATGTCACCTGTATCAATCGATTTTCTGATCAATCCTATCAAACTTACTCTTAAGAAAATCTGAGGCTCAGAGAAATTAGATGACTTGCTCAAGGCCACATTCATAGTAAGTAATGGAGCCAAGCTTTCAACCAAGGCTCTTCAGGCTCCTAGACAGGTACATTGCCTGTATTTGTGAATTCCTCAGCACCTAATGCAAATGCCTCTTCAGAATAGGTATTCAATAAATACCTGCTGCTTTCATGTTTACTGCCACTTTCAACTAGTCCTAAGGGAGATTGTATCTTATAAGAGGCCTTTAAACAATCACAGTATAAAGTGAAAGTGATTTTAAAACCTAAAAAAGTAAAAGTGACTTTCCTTATCTAAACTTCGTTTTTATCTAAAAAGATGAACAGAAACGAAAAAATAGAAAAAAATCTGACTAACAGAGGGCAGTTGGGTGGTTTCAATGGATGCTACCACCTAAGAATAAACCTGCAACAGTCCACACACTCAGGGGACAAGAATATTTAATATATCAGACAGCCACTAACTCCCAAGACAAATCAAGGTGTTCATTTTGGATATACAGCCCAATAAACTTTTTACCTTTTTCCTGACATACCCACCTTAAAAACTAAATAAGGACATCCTAGTTGCCATTTCCAACAGCAGTTCTCAAATCTGAATCAACTTCTGCCCTGGCATCAACAATTACTTCACCAAATCAATCTTTCTGTAAGTTAAATGAGCTATTATTCTTCAAACACTTACTGAGCAGCAATAGAGTGTACTGCCTTTGCTAGGCTGACAAGAAATACAAGAGGTAAAACAGCAGTCCTTGTAAACCATATATAAAAAGATCAGAAACGTTAAGTGTAAATAACAACTCACAAGATAGCCAGAGGCAGGAATGGAAAGTGTCTGCTCTGAAAAACAATATCCTTGACCCAATTTTTGAAAGACTCACTAAAATTATAAACCCTTCCATCCCTCAATGATCAGTAACTAAGTTCTGTATCTCCCTAACCTTTTTCTGCTGTCACTTTCTCCTTGAATTCCCAGATGTCAGAGTATGGAGAAGGAAAAGGACTGAATGACAAGCGCAGCAGTTTCCCTTAAGCAGTCTAGTAATCCTTCCTTCCTTATTCATTAATTCCTTCAATAAATATTTCTTGAACACCTATGATGTGCCATACACTGTACTAGACAAAGTCAAAACGACAGATTTGAGCCCCGTTTTCGTGCAGCTTTCAACCTAGCAACCTGTAATAGTATTCCACTTAACTGTACAGTTATGAATCGTCTTACTGATCTCGGAAACAAACCCAGAGAACCTCAGAAACCAAAGGGACTGCAGATTAACCTCGTTTTTCCTATCCGGAAAAGGCCCGAAAGTGACTCGTCCAAGGTCACACTGGGCATCAGTGACAGAACAGAAACTAGAACCCAGGTCTCCCGACACTCCAATCAGTGCCCCCACGTGCTGCCTCTCCCTGCGGGAAAGAGGTCGCATGAGGTGACTAAGAAAAAGCGAACTTCGCCAAATTTAGGTCCCATGTCACTCTCTCCCTCCTCCAAAGAGGGGGAAGCCACAGCCAAACAGCGGGTAGGGGGAAGTGCGACGCTGCCTCAGTTTCCCCGCAAGAGAGGCGATCGCGTAGCCTCGCTGCCGCACAAGCTCCCCTCCTGCACTTTCCTCCAGTTTCTCCCGCCCTGCCCTCTCCCACTCCAGCCCAGCGGGCGACCGCAGCAAATTACTCCTTCACTCACAAGGACTCGCACCAGCAACGCCATGTTCCTCTACAACCATTTCCGGGTAAAGGGTGGCCTTCCGGCGTTCCCGCGGCCCCCACCCCTTGCCTATGTTGTCCTTTCGCCGGCGGGTGCCCGGCAACGGCGGCGCAGGCGTACAGAGGCCGCCGCGCTCACGAGCGCGCGCTTTTTTCCGCGGAGCGCGAGGCAGTCTGGCTCGGGCGCGCGCCTCCCGTTCTCTCCAGTCTTCCCCCCCACGACACGTCACAGACGCACAAGTCCTCTCCGCAGCACCTGTCCTCCTTGACCAATGGCCTCGGGCTTTTCATAGCTCTCTCCTTATCCACCCCGCTTCACCCAACCTCACTCCTCAGCGCCCCATTGTCAGAATGCTTCCAGACTCTACCCCCCACGGGAATCCCTCCCCCTTGTCACTGGGGGGTTGAAAAAAAAAGGACTTTGGGGGATCCCAACATTTAAGGGTTCCCTAAAAAAAGGGCCTGAGAAAGAGTTGTAGAGGAGCACAGGAGAGTGTTCAGCTGAGTCCTGAAAGTCAGGGGAAGAGGGCCGTCAAGGGCTGACCTGAGGCCTGAAGGGAACTTTTGGGGTTTCTGGCAGGTTGGTTGTTTCATGGGAACATCTTTGAGTATTGACAGAAGAAAGAATCAAGGATGCAGGGAGTTTCTTGAGGAGGTGGGAGAGAATGGCCTTGGCTGGAACATCTCTTCCATTGTATCCCAAGAGCAGTAGAGGAGAAAAGGCGTGTGGGTGGAAGCTCCTTTCATTCAGTCAGCAAAGACCCAGTAAATGTTCGCTATGCGCTGGTCACAAGGCAGGTGTGGATAATGGCTTTGTGGAGCTCCTAGACTGGTGGGGGAGGCATGCAAAAGTCTAGTAAACCAATGAAAAAATAAAATTATGAAAAAAAATATGGTAAGTGCTTTGAAAGAAACAACAAAGAGCTAAACTTGAGAATAACATGGGAAACTACACTTTAGATAATATGGCCAGATAAGGCCTCTCTGAGGAGGTGGCATGTAAGTTGAGATCCAAAGGATGAATAGGAGCTGGCCATGGGAAGTGACTCTGAACATGCTATTTTTATCAGCAAGTATTGGGGGGGTGAGAAAGGGAAAGAAGATTTGAGGGCAAGAGTCCTGAAATGGGAAAGAATAAGAGTTTATTTAGGGTACTTAGAGAAGAATTGGGTATTTACACCCCAAAAACACTAATTCAAAAAGATACATGTACCCCTATGTTTATTGCAACATTATTTACAATAGCCAACATATGGAAGCAACTTAAGTGTCTATTCATAGATGAATGGATAAAGAAGATGTGGTGTATATATACACAATGAAATGTTACTCAGCCATAAAAAAGAATGGGATCTTGCCATTTTTGACAACATGGATAGAGCTAGGGAGTATCATGTTAAGTGAAATAAGTCTGACAGAGAAAAACAAATACCATATGATTTCACTCATATGTGGAATCTAAAAACAAAACAAATAAACAAAAAAGCAGAAACAGTCTCATAAATACAGAAAACTCGTGGTTGCCAGAGGGGAGGGGGGTGGGGGAATGGGTAAATTGGTGAAGGGAATTAAGAGGTACAAACTCCCAGTTACGAAATAAGTCACAGAGATGAAAAGTATATCATAGGGATTTAATCAATAATATTGTAATAACTTTGTGTGGTGACAGATGGTGACTACACTTATGGTAAGCACTGAGTAATGTATAGAGTTGTCAAATCACTATGTTGTATACCTGAAACCAATATAACAGCGTATGTCGACTATTCTTCAATTTAAAAAAAATAAAAAGAATCCAAAGAAAACCAGTGTGGCATCTGAATTAATTAATTCAGAATTAATTAATCTGAATTAATTAATTAATCCTGAATTAATTTAAAGAATAATTAAGATTGGCAGAAGCTAAATTATGCAAGTACCACTAGATGAAGTCTGTATTTTATTCTAAGAATAGTTGGAAGCCATTAGAGGATATTAAGCAGGGGAGGGCTATCTGGCTTATGTTTAAGAAGCTGATGTTGATCACTCAGCATCAGGGAAATCCAAATCAAAACCTCAATGAGATACTACCTCATACCAGTCAGATGGCTAAAATTCACAAGTCAGGAAACGACAGATGTTGGGGGGGATGCGGAGAAAGGGGAACCCTCCTACCTGCTGTTGGGAATGCAAACTGGTGCAGCCACTCTAGAAAACAGTATGGAGGTTCCTCAAAAACTTGAAAATAGAGCTACCCTATGACCCAGCAACTGCACCACTGGGTATTTACCCCAAAGATACAAATGTAGTGATCTGAAGGGTACGTGCACCCCAATATTTATAGCAGCAATGTCCACAATAGCCAAACTATGGAAAGAGCCAAGACGTCCATCAACAGATGAATGGATAAAGAAGATGTGATACACACACACACACACACACACACACACACACACACACACACACAATGGAATATTATGCAGCCATCAAAAAAAACCAAAATCTTGCCATTTGTAATGATGTGGATGGAACTAGAAGGTATTATGCTAAGTGAAATAAGTCAATCAGAGAAAGACATGTATCATATGATCTCCCTGTCATGAGGAATTCTTAATCTCAGGAAACAAACTGAGGGTTGCTGGAGTGGTGGGGGTTGGGAGGGATGGCATGACTGGGTGATAGACATTGGGGAGGGTATGTGCTATGGTGAGCGCTATGAATTGTGTAAGACTGATGAATCACAGACCTGTACCTCTGAAACAAATGATACATTATATGTTAAAAAAAGAAGAAGAAGAAGATAGTAGGAAGGGAAAAATGAAGGGGGGGAAATCGGAGGGGGAGACGAACCATGAGAGACTATGGACTCTGAGAAACAAACTGAGGGTTATAGAGGGGAGGGGGTGGGGGGATGGGTTAGCCTGGTGATGGGTATTAAAGAGGGCATGTATTGAATGGAGCACTGGGTGTTATACGCAAACAATGAATCATGGAACACTACATCAAAAACTAATGATGTAATGTATGGTGATTAACATAACATAATAAAATAAAAATTTTTTTAAAAAGCTGATGTTGACTACTATACATAGAATGGATCAGAGAAGGTTAAATATGAAGATGGAAGACCAGTTAGTAGGCTAATAGTATCCAAACACTAATGATTTTCATATATGAGTTTAGTTTTGTTTTTGTACAGAATATAAAGACTTCCCTCATCAATCTTCCATAAAAGGATTTTACAAGCCAAAGTGAAGATGCTTTCTGCTTTCAAATCCATAGCTTACATATGCAATATTGAAAAACAATGGTGTAGTGCTCCTACATATACCTTAGGACAAGTGGCATCACGTATTAAAAAGAGATAAGAGGGATTCACAGAAGAGATGATGAGCTAAGATTTTGAGCACAAGAGAAAAAAAAAGATTAGTATTTAATTTCCTTTCTGATGATTTCTATTTTATCTGCGAACTAGCGGGGAGAGATTTTCTATTCAGAGGAATGCAGATGGCATGAGACTATAGAAGAGTTGGAGAAAGTTTAAAGTTTCAAAGAGAACAAAAGATAAAGGGGGCCAGTTGAAACATGGAGGATCTAGTTGAAGTTGGTAACTCCTCATTTTTTCAAATTTTAATGTATTAATTAATTTTAAATTAAAAGATGATATATGACCTTCTATATCAGGCGACACATTCTCTTCTAAAACTTAGCATGTTACAGATAAAGCTAAAGTTCCTTTTACCAGTGCCTTACATTGCAACTCCTTCTACCCTCTCTAAAATTGAATTTCCTTCTAGATATTTTGTAATGTTTTCACATATATATACATACTCCCTCAGAAAATATATCACTCTGGTTGGTGTGGGTTTTCTTTCTTTCTTTTTCTTTCTTCCTTTCTTTCTTTCTTTCTTTCTTTCTTTCTTTCTTTCTTTCTTTCTTTCTTTCTTTCTTTTTTACTTAATTGACAACATTCTTTTTAGTGTGTGACAACAATCTTATGTTTTATTTTGCTCTTCCTTTTTTTCACCCAACAGTTGTTTTTTTATTCTATATATGTTGCTCTGTATAGATCCAGTTCATGTCCTTTTAATAGCTGTTCTATCATAAGACAGAGTTGACAGACATTTGTTTCCTTTTTGTTGTTATTGTTTCTATGACCTGTGTTTCCATGAATATTCTGTACATTTAAGAGCAAAACTTTCAATAGCACCAATCTACCTCTTTTTGTCTTCAAAATCATTTGCCAGCCCGGGATTAGCAGAGTAGAGAGCTGATAGTTGGATTTAATAAAGGATTATGGTTTTTCCAGGTCATGGAATGGATGTCATCAGGACAAAGAAAGTGATGATATTGTCAAGAGAAAGGTTAGAGTGATAGGCCAGGAAATCTGTATGGTGAAGGATTTAGAGAGGAAGAAGCTGTCAGGAAAGTGGCTAAAGTAAAGGAGAGGTAAAAATCCCTAGGGTAGTGTCAGGCCTTCAACGAATTGAGGGCCCACATTTTAGGAGAGTCATCTATGTAGGCATTTATGTTGCCTCTAATGGTGGCTGGATTTGGAATGAAGAGGCATATTCTAGGTCTGATGCCAAAGTCTAATAGGGTGTCCATGAGTTTGGAGGTAGCATGAACATATAGCCTGAGTCATGAAGGAGCAGCAGATGGAGGGGTAATGGACTGAAGGTGGTACTGGAGAGCAAGCAGTTGAAGCCTTTAACTGCCAGTCTTAACACACACAGGGTATAGAATAATGACAAGCACCATCCCAGAGAAGGAAGGCTACAGGGAAAATCATAGAAATAATATTCAAAGAGGAAGGCCAGGTTTCAGTTAAGAGAGAAAGTAGAAGGAACTTTCTGGGAACAGGCTAAGGGTATAAACAAGTTTATCTTTCTTGGAACCCATGGAGATTTCAGGTTCCATAAGGCCCTTTACAGTGCTCCTCCCTTGGCTCTTTGGTCTCAACTCCCCAGGGCTGCTCAGCTTCTCTCCACTGCCAGGGCTTGTCAGCAACTTGTGCCCCAATAATCTCCATTGTTTTTCCAAAGC